TTGTTTATTATTTTCTTCCAGGCGAGATAATTCAACCATCACCTGTATCTCCTATTGGTTCAACTTTTTACTTTATTCTTACTCAAATTTTTTTGTAAACTTGTTGTATATTGATGGTTAAGATAAAATATAAAAACTTTATTTTTTCCTTGTTCATTACGGACGTTTATTCTATTCACATTATTTGTACATGGTTGACTTCCAACTAGTCATGCTAAGTGATGTCTAATAGCAGCTGGCCAAATTACAATCGCGTGGTGGGTGGGTCACAGTCAAGTACAAATAAGCCATTCACTGCCAAAGAACAAATATAATCATTCTTTACGATCAAGTACTTTAACCTCCCCCTCTTGATTCAAAAGACATCACCTACTTCTTATAACACACAACACCATATTCACATAATTGTTCGTACACGTATACATTGTCACAGCAAAATCAATTACATAAATTTACCAACGGCTCCAGCAAATCATCTGCCCATATTAACTATAGCCTCTTTTGTAATCCCTCTAATACTTATATTTTGTGTTTCAATTACATAATGTTAGTCCAAAAATGTCAGCTTCTATTATTTGAACACAATCCTATTATCAAGGTCACGTTTGTATTGCGTTGGTCCAGCTAACTCTGGATTGAGTCAACTACAAATGTACTGTATATTTTATTGTTATGCTTCTAATAATATAGTCAATATGGTATTCTTTAATTGTAGTTGTTTCTAAGGATACTTTGATATTTTAAATCCGCACATCGATTTGTTTTTTCTTTTATTGACTTTTGACCGACTTTTGATCTTTTTTGTTTAAAAAAACACACTGGAAACTCAATATTTTAACATGTCATCAACCGCTGCTTAGCTGACTTCATTCAAACACGGTATTCAGAAAGACCAACTGATTTTTGTCATGTTTTCTTTTCGATTCTTGGTACAATAGAATAATGAATTACAAATCAGTCAGTCTAACTTTGGTGTGTGGCTAACAGTGTGACAATATAATGGTTGAAATGTGCAAATGAATAGCATTGTATTTATACCTTAGTAATTAGTTTCTCTAATCTCCTAATTAGTTTTGAATAAAAATCTGTCCATCTGAATCACTTTATTTGTGTAATGGTGTGTCAATTTTTGACTTTTCAACTGATAACTCAAGTACTAATCATCACAATTCAATGAAACTTAGTACAATGATAGTCTGTGACATTGTACAGACCTTATTAGTTTTAAAATGTGTGCATATTAATTACCTGCATTATAATTAGTCAGTTTTCAGCTTTTCCATCATTATCTCAAGTACTTATCATCTTATTTCAATGTCAGGAATAATGCACAGACTTAACACAGTTTTGGTTTGAAATCTATCCAAAATAATTGCTTAATTTGCATTATAACTATCAACTTCTCACCTATATCTCAAAATTATTTATTGCATTTTAAACAGACTTAGAATACAAGTGCCTGGGAACATTGCATTAGTTTTGGATTGAAATTTGAGCATACTAATTGCCAAATTTGCATAATGTGCACAACCATCACATTTCATTGAAATATGGATTCTCTGGGGTAATCCACACACATGATCAAAAATAAGAAACTTGCATATGGTTCCATGAGAATAATAAGTCTGAGTGTAATCAATGTCAACAACATTCATGCAAAATTTTCAAAGCAATCTAACAAGCGAGTGTGAAAAAAAATTATTTTTAACCATAAATTGCAAAAATAAATTTCCCAAAAATACATGTTTGGTTTACATGTGATGTCATGAAATGAACAAATCCGACAGAGGACCATCCTAGGTAGGTGTGGTATGAATAGCAAAGCAATCCAGCTGACTGTTTTGGACTGTTGTTTGAATGAAATAAGTTGATGTACTACGAACAGAGAACGACAGGTGTTATCAACCCATAAACCTTGCTGAGTCATCGTCGATGACAGCGGAGCTAAAATTATGCCAAATATCCTACAAAATTGACATGTGTGTTGTGGTACACGAGAAATAATTGCACAGTGCCTGGCACAATGAACTGCATTGTGTTAATATTTACAGATTGTTTTCATTAATTGTTATGCTATTCAATTCTTTCTTATACATGTTATCAATGAGTTCTTTATCAACGTTCTTTGATTATCTTTCCAGCATCTCGATTTGCCGCGTTACTCATACCAAGTTGTCCTGGAGCCATTCATGATTTGGCAAAAAATAAAGACTTAGCACAATTACTAAACAATTTTATTGATGAGAAAAGTGAGTATAATTCATATAGACAATGCAATAATATTGATAAAAAATGAATATATAATATATATTTAAATCTGAAATTGTACTGGACCTGATATTGGTGATATTACCAATGAATTACCAGAAAATACAAAGGTGCATAATGTAAACTGAACATTTATTTATTAATATTCTCTTAATCAGAGCCAATATGTGCAGTAGGATTTGGTGTTGGTGCTCTCTGTCCCGCAAAGAAAGATGACACACAGTTATGGAGTTTTTCTTCCTATTGTATCACAGCAGTAAGTATACATATTCACTATGTACATGAACACCAGAATTCAAGTCATTTATCGGCAAAGTCTGTCACAGATCTTCAGGGAATATGTGTTTCTTTGAGGAATACCAATGTTTATTCTAGAGATCAAGACATGTTAACTCGCAAAAATATGTTGAGGGTACAGGAATAAATTGCATCTCAAGAAATGTGTGAAAAATAACGTTGGATAATCCAATGAAATTCAGAGGGTCCTTACCATGCCTTTGATTTGAGAATAAAAGCTTGCATTGGTTGACACACAATATAAGTATCTCTAATTCATTACATAAATCCCAGACATGCATAATTACTGAAATACTGATAAGTGACCAAAAGTGGAACTGCTTGTATACCATATACTGCAGGGTGATGTGTATCGCTGCATCCAGCATTCAATTTTGGCAACAAAAATGGGTCAGACCCAAGCAATTTCCCTCTATGCATTGCCACTATATTTGTAGCTATACTGATCGATTGATAGATACTGAATTCTTAATGAATATGATTCCAGTAATCACAACCGATTTTTTCCATACATTTCTACTAAAGTTTCTACTGAAGGATTTGCCTGATAGTCTGAACATATCATGTATCAACACTGATATGCTCAGTCTGGCTCCAATAATTGCCATCAATTTCTCCAGATATCTGTTTGCTTGGAGTGATACTGGATGGCAGAGGCCAAAATGTTTCATTGAAACTAGGAAATATATTCACTGTTTGTTTGGGACACCTCCAGCCCAGACACACTGTATTGAAGGACAAGAAAGAAAACCTGACAATTTTTGGCAATTGTTCAATCCTGAACTTTAATTGCCCTGTCAAAGAAATTGCTATGCAATGTTGACAGTGGCCATGTTAATTACATGAAAAATGAAAGCCCAAAATGAAAGCATTTTTCTGGAAATACTAATGTGATATATTAATCAGTGTTATTGTATGCT